ACTGTCCTGTCAGTCACTAATGTTTCACCTGATAGCCATGCGTAACTGAAGTAAATCATCAAACTGCTCCTAAACGACTTCCGACGAAGCCCACCTTCCTGGTTTGACGCTAGTCAGCAGGAATTCTCGAGTAGTATCAATAAACTGTGTCGTTTGCAGTCATCTGTAGTTTACAAAACTATACACCGAATTACGCTGCGCATAAAACAGAGGATACGATGAAGACAAGAGCTTGTTTAGAGTACAGGACTTGGAACAGAGCACGTATCGCAGCTCCGAAGCAGACCAAGTAATCACTCAGAAGTTGCTGGAAAATACGAGACAAACATGGTGCACAAAATTCTTCTCGATTGAATGCTCTATGTGGTCCAAAAAGATGCAGACGGCGCCTTTACTGACAGGTGCACCAGAGCGACGTTAAACTGAAAAGTCTGTTGATAAACACTGCGCTCTGGTTGGCTTACACTATAACGTACGGTTCGGCGACAGGGAAGACCAAAATACGTTAGACCGCGAGGCAGCAGCAGCTCTTGACCCTCACTTCCTTTCCGTATATGTAAGGCAGAAAATATTCGTCTATATGAATTTGAAAATAGGCATCCCAAGAAATATAATTAGCTAGAAAAGATTCTTTGGGAAACGTGAACGAACTTTATTGTAAATTTTCGACGCTGGCACGCCAGCTCATCGTCGGATTTGAGGGAAATGTGTAAAGAGCAGTGCGCATTTTTAAACATGTCAAAAAAATCGATAATGATTTGTCATACTTCTTCCATAGCAGGTTTTGGTGGTAGGCGCTTTTTCCAGGCTTTTTTGAGATTGATGTACATTTAATCCCTCACCTCCGACGACGACCTGGTGTGCCAGCGTCGAAAATTTACACAATAAAGTTCGTTCACTTCTCCCAAAGAATCTTTTCTATATTCGTCTGTGTCAGGTTGTGCAACGTTAGTTCGAACACATCGATGAGCTGCGTGCCACCGTACAGCAGCTACAACATGAGCCCACGCCCACGCCCACGGCACACTGTATACATTCTAAGTTACGTAATAAAATATGTTCAGTTAGGAGCAGCGTCAGGTAACCCGATACCGACTCGTTGAACACACCAAGTGCCCGCGATTTCCTGGTTGCCAATAGCCAGTAATCAACAGTAAAGTAGAAGCCGAGGAAGAGTCCAGTTTTTAGGCTTGCACCAAGCATTTAAAAAAGCCACGCGGTTGCAAAGGAAATGGATGAGAAAGCGGCAGCCCACCTTGTCGGTCTTTGGGAGGACAGCCATCACATGGGCACCGACAAAGTATCCAGCCTTACGGAAGACGTGTTTACAGAGCTCGTCTCCATTGCGGGCCACTAGAAACAAAGCAGAAATGTATGGGAAATAGAAGAAGATATGAAGTAGATATAAAGTACACACACATCCCAGGTATATGAATAAACGATCCCCAAATTTGCATCACACTTTTTAAAATGAAAACGATCAGTGGAATTAAAGACATTCCGGTGTCTTATAATAGGCAGCAATAGAGTAAAATCCTCCCTGCCAAGAGCTAGTCCACAGTCTTCAGACAATATAGGCCTAAATAACGGTCCCTACTTTAACGCTCATGTCCCCGATCAATAATGCGTTGATATGGCCTTTTTCAGGCAGGGCGTGCCCATAATTCGCTACGTTTAGAGTACGTCGAAAAGAGGACTGACTTTACAGGAAGGTGCATGTGCTCTGGCCAGGAATGCGATTGGTAGAGTTCGAAACGGCATATGAAATGGAACTTAGTGTATAAAAGACTAAATATTGAAAGGGTTTTCGGCACAAAAGAAATTAGTTGAGCTATGAAGACTGATATGCGAGGAGTACAGGCAGGTAGGCAGTCACAAGCATAAAAACATACGTTCGCTGAATGTCTTGCAAAGAGATGAGAACTCATTCTTCTTGAAGTGATACAGGGGTTCGAGGAGGTCTATGTTGCTCCGCAGAGAAAAGTGTTTAAATATTGCGTCGCGCACTGCCCGCGTGTCGTACGGACACTTAACAAGACCTTCGTCATCATCCACATAGAGTTTCATGCAACGATGGGTGATCCAAAAGCCTGCAAAGGAAAGGAGAAAACCGGAGGGTTACAAAAAAAACGGGTGAGCCAATAAAGAAAAACAATAACTCCTATCTGCCTGCGGGGCACATATGTTCCCATAGATGCATACAGTAAACATTCATTAAAAGCCTAAATAGTTCGAAGAGTGCTTAAATTTGACAAGTAAGAAACGCACAGCAAGTGGCTGAAAATTGTCGGCTGAAAGTTGAAATCACTAACCAGAGGCCTCATCCCCAAGCATATTGCCATAACCGCCGATGCGTTCGTATGAAAGGTCCTCTCGGATATAACGACAGGTGGAACCCGTGCCAGCAATTACCACGATACCAGCTGAAAAAAGTGAACATGAAGGTTAGAAGAATTTATTCTGCGGCAGCTTAGTCTTTGTCTGGTGTCTGCGAGGAGCATTTTGAGGGAAGAGTAAATTAGGGCGGCGAGAACAAGGACAGGGTAGGCAACAAGTGATTTTAATATTAACACGCCTACTTCATAAACAGTGCCCTGAGATAAGTTGCAAGACATTTCCGAAAAAGCCAAGCAAAGCAACGGAGCTTTTATAGGCAAAAGTCCAGCTTTTTGAGGATCTAAGATAGAACTTCGATAACGTCCCCAACGAATATTCGCTTAAAGTTGTTTGCAAGCTCTATGCGTGTAACATCTTACCTACTATCACGCATATACTAAAAGCGTGAAAACACAGAAAATCGTGAAGTATTTACCGGAAGTACAAGAACGACCTTAAACTATTTATAATCCAATGCCAAACAAATTGTATGTTAATGATACCACAATTCGATTTGCTATTTAGTCCGTAAGTACTCGGTCCATGACCACTACTTACAGCCTACTGTATTCCCCTCTTCTCGAGATCAAAAACCTCTATATGCCAATCTCGACATGCGGGCGATGTGAAAAAGATGAGTTGTAATTATAGACATTTATAAACTCTGTCCAACTCTTCTATTTTTATCATCAATTTTATCTACATTGGTTGGTCACAGTTACGGCGATTTTTCACGTTTTCCGAATTTGAGGATTAGTTAAAAACCTTGGTATTCCTAGACAAACTATTATTACTTTTTATATTAAATGCAAGTTTTAAATTTGGTTAAGGTTTTCAATTAGTATTTCAAAGTTTTCGTACACGCCTTAATGCCAGTTTGTGAGTGCTTGCCAATCTTTCGAAAATTCGAGTCTTTTGCATATGAAGTAGGTTATCTCCTGTAGTAAAGTTAACGTTTGAAGTGAGACTGGAGTGGTCATTGCTATCTTATCGACTGTCGTCAGCTAGGCCCTATCCAACCACAAGTCTCTACCACCTGGGATTCAAACCCAGATTTTTTAATCGTTCTCGAGGGCCCCTCGTCTTGTCGGCTGC